GGAGGGGGGGGGGGGGGGGGGGGGGGGGACAAGAAGGGAAGTGAGGGTTATCTTTTTACTTGATCCTCAAGTTCTAACATAGTTTTAAAAAAGCAGCTATATCTGAGATATAAGCCTACTACCTTGGTTTTCTGTAACGTTTAGGATCAAAGACAGTTTATAAATCAATCTCTGCTGGATCCTTAAAGTATGCTAAGTCTTAAAAGAAAATGAAAATCCTATTGCTTTCAAACAGTATTATTCCTAAAACAGGGAATAAGTCACAATCAGAAACCTGGAAAAATCATCTAGGACACCATAAACTCTACCTGTATCTGCTACCCTGACAAAATGCCAAAGCAGCTACTGCCTAAAGACCACTTATAATCACAGCCAAGGATAAAATTTCCCATCTTCCATATAACATGGCTTCCACACACGAATGCAATGTGTTTCTCTTAATTCAGTTCATTACGACAATTCTTTCTTGTGTCCCCTTATCCGTCTCATCCCCCTTCTTGGAGGGAAGCAAATTTAAGCAACTATTTAAAGGACAAATTGATACTCCCTAACTGTCACAGAACTATATAACAGAGTCACTTTCTTCAATATTTTCTGTCTCAGAGTTTCTAGCATATCTCTTCCTTTTACATGATCACTTTCTTCCAAGATCCTGAAATTTATTAAAGGAAATGTAGAATCCAAAATCTATGCTTTTTTCCTCAGCTGGTTATTTATTCAATTTTCAACCTACAACTGTAAGAAGGGATTGCTGCTGCACTGAGTGGGTGTTTGGGCTTGATGACATTTAAAGTCCCTTCCAACTCTAAAATTTTAAGACTACCATTCATAGCAAACGTTAATAATGAATGAAGTAAGAATCTCAAAGTTGAAAGAACAATGATTAACTCAGAGTTATCCTGTAATCAGTGGTAAAATTCCTTAAAATACTGGTCTCAATTTCCCTTTTCCTTCAGTAACTTTACTCTCTTAAAAAAGAGTTCTTCGATTAGAAAAATTGTTTGGAAAAAAAAGAAAAATTGTTTAAAAAAAAAAAGCAGGTAGATAATAAGATATGTTCATAGTGATTAAAATATTCTTTACTTTTCAATTTTATCTTTGAAGTTTTAAGAAATTTCAGCATCAACATCTTTTACTACTACTGATTCCCCAAAGGCCTGGATATCCAAAGGGCTAGAATCAGCTCTTACAGCAGCTGGGCAATATTAAAAAACAAAGAGGGAGGGAATGACAGACAGCAGGGCAGGGAGAGAGGGCTGGCACAGTCTCACCTGGTCTCACCTAACCCTAATCAGGGACAACCAATCAATGGTGCTCTGCTGGTTAGCAAAAGGTGATTTTTTCCCTACTGCTTTCAAATAAAAGTGATAAAGAATAGAAGGTTCAACATAATAAAGAAAAACACAAGGTTTGTTTGAATATGGGGATGCTTTTGGTAGTCATGAATGATTTCAACTGAGACACAAAATGATAGAAAACACCACATGCATGTACAAACTTTTTCTCTACAATACCGAGTATTTCCTGTTAATAAACATTAACCTGTTCTTCTAATTCACACCTTATCTTTTAAGCCTCTATTACATTTCACTGAAAATATAACACTCTCCAAGAATAACTTGGCAATCGATTTACAAAATACACTGAGCACCCCAGGGGTAACAAAAAGTGATTTTACCACAGAGGGAATAAAATTAGTCTATTCTGACCTGTATGCCCATCAAAGTTAAATCATTCCTCACTTGTTACTATTTTCTGAGCTTTTTAAATAAACAATTAACAAGTCAAAAGTTTCAACTCTTTTCATAAAAATATCCCAACATTTAACAACTCTCTCAAGAGATTTAAATGCTGAGGCATTCCCTCAGTTTCACCTCCTATGAAGAGGATTTCCTTAGAAACAAGTGAAAATAACATTATCCAGTGATCCTTGGGCTCTGTCTTTAAAGACTAGACAAGCAGAGGGCAAATTTTTAAGGTATCATGTGGTCATCTCAAACTCTCAATAACATTCCTGTAGGTTTCCCTCCCTCTTTTCAAACTATGTAATCCCTGTGTTTATCAACTTTCAAAAAACACAAATGACTTGTATAAAGTTCTCTGCATACTCCTTGGTTTTGAGTGACCTTTTGGATCAAAGTTAGTATCTTTAAGAGGAAAGAAGCAGGAACAACTCCACTTCTTTTATAATCTTCACCTTTCCTAATATTTGTTTAAAATTCTGCCTAGCATCCGTCATCCTTGCTCTCATTTTGGATGGACAGGGATCTACAAGTAAACGTACTTTCACTCTCACTTTGCTTTTAGAAACTGCAACATGGTAAAAATTTAACATAGGCGTCCAACAATAAACAAGATTTTAAAAAGTACATACCTTGTACTGTCTCTAATCCCACATTAAGCTTGTTTTACAAAGTCAGGCTCCTAGCTGAATCAAGATGCAATAGTCTTTCTTAAAACAGATCAATCCTTGATTGTACGGGAAGACATGAAGTCTACAAAACGCAGAAATGCTCTGCAGCCTCCTAACATCCTGCTTATACTTGCTCCCCTTACACATATTTCAGAAATCAGTCTGACACCCACACTCATCACTGCTAAAAAGTAAGAAAACACTCTGTTCATTTAGCATTTTTATCTTTCTTAGTCTTAAGGGCTTCCGAAAGGAACTGAAATAATGCTGGACGAGGGATAAACTCATGGCCCACCCACAGACAGACTGAAGAACCAAGGAATGGAACACCAGATAGCCTGGCTTCGCCACACACGTTTGCATCTCGAACATGTTTTAAAAAGATGATCCTCACCACTTTTTCAACTTAGGCTCCTTGTGCCCTTTCCACACAAGCTACCTCAAAGAGTAAAGAGCAAATCTTTGGTAACTTGTGAGTTCTGCATTCTCATCAGTTGATCTGCACTTAGAATCCGCATAAGCTTGGAAAGGTATACAGCAGCTAAAGGGATTAGTAACTCCTCAGATGCAAACAAATAATCTTCAGGCACACTCAGTCCAAACGAGTGCAGTTTTATAAAATGTATTCTTAATGGAGTTCCCGAGGACACACACTAGAAAAGGTGGAGTAGGCGAAACCCCTTTGACTTCACTTTTAGCCTACAGTTCAAGAAAACTAAGCCATGGGTAACAGAAGCAAACCAGCAATCTCACCCACTCTACTCACCCCCACATTCATACACAGACACAAAGAGAAGTGGATTGCAATGCTCCTCCTCAGCTCTCATTTCCACAGAGTTCTTACATAAAAAGCTATGAGAAAGAATATGGTAAAGCCTTGAGGTATGGTATAGTTGGCAATAAAGGGGTTAAACAGCACTACTTTCCTGGAAACCTACCAATCCCCCAGCCAGGAATGCAATTCTCCTCACTACCTGTGTGTGTTACATATTTCCTAAAAATTCAGCAGATTAAGAGTTAAGAAAAACACCTCGAAAGAAAAAGAGAACTTGGTTCAGCTCCACCCTCCCTAAAGCAAATACCAACAACTCTGAGCCAAATCCACTCAGCATACACAAGACTCCATGGACATTCCAAAAAACAGGTGAAAAGAAGTTCAATTTCCTCAGGTATCTCACCTTTCAGCCCCAAATACTTAGCAGAATTCACAAATTAGTGAAACTCATGTTAGGTAAAACAAAAGCACACATAAAATTTCATTTAGAATTTGAAAAACATTTACAAGTCACAAAGGTCACTATAAATCAGCAAAAATAGCTGGAATTCGGGTGAGTAAGGTCAAACAGTACCCATGGAAACAAAAGCAAAACAAAAGGATACAGAAATAGAAGATACACGGGCCCTAAAGCTTAAGACTTAGCAGGAAAGCTCCCTAACTAGAGTGTCATGCTTATCCTAAAGAAACCTGGGAGAATGTTGCTTTGATCACCAGTGAGGGAAGGTTGTCACTACTATTAAACCCACATTTCTGGGGGGAAAAAAGATAGTCACCAGATAAAAACAGGCACTGACTTGACAGCCTATAGTCACTGGTAAGGACAGTCCAGAAGCACCTGTCTTGATGGAAATAGGTAGGAAGAGATGAGTCACTATTTTAAATCTGTTCAGTACTCTCAACAGCTCAACCCTCTATGTCCCAAAGCATCATTATCTTCCTGTTTTCATCACTTTCTCAGTTTTCTTCCCAAACTTGTGGAGTTGTGTCAGAATGCTAATGGGTGGGGATAAGAGAAAAGAGAAAGAGGGAAAGTTAGAAACCATTTGGTTAGTAGAAAGAGACACTGGGGCGGCAGAGTGAATTACCCGGGAGAGAAGACTACAAAACTAGTTAGGAACGGTTATTAAGATCCAAGACGCCCTATCTTGGACAGCGCCCCCTATCTTTCCCTAGATAGGGTAAAAACCAAGCTTCAGTGTGGGCAAAGATAATAAGATACCACGGTGTTACATGAACACCAATATTCTTTCAGACTGGAAGTACCTGGCACCTGAGGAAAGCCTGACTCTTCTACAGGTCGGGAAAAAGGTTATCAGTGTAGCCTTGGGCACAGGAGGTAGCGGAAGAGCCGAGGAGACTGTTATCATAAAAGTGCATAGAAGACAATATAATCACGTACTCAAAAACTTCTGGACCATTTCAGTCCAACTTCTTCCCCGTGGGGGAGGGTGATCACCACTCTTAAGTCAAGAAGGGCATATTCTTGAGAGAAGTTCCAATCCCCTGACAAGAGACCGATTAGCAACACGGCAAAGAGACAGGTTCTCTGCATGGGGAAATACTGGAAAGCCAACTACCGTCATACCCAACGACCATAGGAACTGGGCAGGAACCCATTTCTGCAGTCACAAGGACAAACGTCCAAGGGAAGAGGGAAGGTAGCGCCCAAGTCAGGTAACATTCCTGAGGGGAAGGATTATCAGGTGACACCCGGCTGAGGGCCCAGAGAGGGGACTGGGCGGGAGCAAAGTTAGCAGGTGAAAGGGATCAAGCTTGGGGAAGGAAGTGACCTTTGAAGAAGCAAATAAGAAGATACCAAAAAAGGGGGGAAGGGTAATAAGAGAAAATGGACCCAGAAAAGCACTGAGGCTAGAGATAGAGAAGGCGTGTTCGGGTAACGGAGGAAGAAGAAAGGAAGTGGGGCTGAGAGGGAAGAGATAGGGCTGAGACTGTCCAGGGCTACGCGGGGTAAGGGCAGAACATGAGGGAGGGGAGAAGGGGGGTGAAGAAAGCCCTGAGGTTGCCAGTGCAAGAGCCGGGTGGGACTCCGGGGATCCCCGAGGTCCCAGAACGGTCGGAGGTCGGGCTCCGGAGCCCAGCACCGAGCAAAAGGAGGAAGGGAGGCGCGGGGGCGGCTCCCTAGAAACGGGCGTGCACCCCTGGGGCCAGCTGCGGGGGGTCTCCGGGTCCTGAGGGCGGTTAAGGGGCCAGCCTGAGGGAACCAGGTGGGAGGGACACTCACAAATTTCTTGGATTTGCCGCCGTCGCCGCCTGCCGAAGGCAGCTCGTCCGGGTTCCGGCCCTTCTTCTTGTCCCGGGTCCCGCGGCCGGGTCCCAGGCCCCCGCCGGGCGGCTCCATGTCCAGGTCTGCGTTGCTAGTGACCCCGCGCCCACGCCGCTCCGCCCGGCAGCTCCAAGCCCGCCGCCGCTGCCGCCGCCGCCGCCCAGCAGCTTCTCAGTCCGCCGCCGCGCCCCGCCTCATTAGCATGCCGGGCTGCGCGCGCCTCATGAATATACAACGACGACGCCTCGCTCCCGCCCGCCTGCCCCACTTCCGCCCGGACCCGCAGCCCCTACCAACGGGGGAAGGGAGAGGGTGGAGGAAAGCCGCGGAAGCGCACTACCTGCCTGGCGGGCCTAACCATTTGGACTCACGTGGGGGGGTAGTGAGTGGGCGGTGTAACTCTCTGGGACAGCGCCGCCTGCCGGTTGGAGCGGCGCAGGCCTCCCTGCTCCCACGCAGTGCCCACGTGGCTGTGAAGCCTGAACCCTCTCACACCCCAGACCGAGATATTACCTGAACCAAAAAAATCGCATGAGAGAGACTTATCCTGGCAGAAAATTTAGTGCCAGGCTTTCCAGGATAATAGTTTTTATGTGTTCAACACCCATGGAGCACACGAAAAAATAAAGTGATAGCTACCATTTATGTGCCAAGAACAGAGCTTGGTTCAGGGCCAGTGCTAGAGCAAACTCTACTAGCTCTGGAGTTCAATTACCTAGTTCTAAATCCCAGGTCTACTACGTTCCATGTTCCTAATCTGGAAAAACTAGTTACTGCCATTGCTGTGCCTGAAACTTAATAAGAGTTAACCATTTACCATACACTTGTTCTATGCCAGACCCTATGCAAAAACACAAGTATTTTCTTACTGAATCTCCACAATGGCATATGACAGATTCCACTAGTCTCACCATTTTAAGGACAGGAAATTTGTACAATGACAACTGAAGTGACTTGCCCAAGGACACATAATTGACAAAAAAAAAAATTAAAACCAGGTTGGTCTGATTGCCAAGCCCTGTGTTTAAAAAGGATTCCCTACTGACATGAAGAACTAACTGGAAGACCCTGATGCTGGGAAAAACTGAAGGCAAAAGGAGAAGGGGACGACAGATGGTTGGATGGCATTACCAACTCGATTAACGTGAGTTTGAGTAGGCTCTGGGAGTTGGTGATGAATAGGGAAGACTGGCATGCTGCAGTTCATGGGGTCCCAAAGAGTTGGACACGACTGAGCGACTGAACTCAACTGAATTGATATAAACCAAACTGAGTGAAAAGAACAGGCATTCTTCAAAAGTGTTTTCTTTGCTCTACTAGCTTAATTCTTCCCTCACCAATTTCCTTCATTCTCCCAGCTACATCTGGTCCCTTGTGTGAAAAGCATGTGGCACCCAGTAGGCCTTCAAACTCTGGACTTAATTATCTTGCTCAGAACCAGCAAAAGATTTCAACTGCATGTTCCTGGAGGACAGTCAGTGACTCACTAGGGAGCCGCCAGCGCTCAATCTAGGGTCTGGTATGTTACAAGGAGTCTGCCAAAATGGCTGGCTCCTAAATCTGACCTTCAGCTTTTACCTTTCACTTTCTAATTGCCTGATGGAGAGTTGCATAGGACTGCCCAGCACACATTTCAAAATCAATTTGTCCAAAACAGTCCCAAACAGCTACTTCCTTTCTAAGCTAGAGTGTTGAGAAACAGACAGGATCAAAGCATGGAAGGAGTGATCCAGGTATTACTCTTCTTTCCCATACCATTGTCTACATCTACTAAGGCATTTCTCTTCCTTCCTACTGGACTGTAAACTCCAGGGAAGAGTCCATATTTGTGGCTACTATAGTATCCAGCATCATTCTTCACATAAACAATGAAGATAATGAGCAACTGCTTATAGCAGGCACTGTGTTAAGTACCTAATATGTTTTCTCAGTGTATCTTAACTAGCATCACCAATCCAAACACCCAGGACTAAAAACCTGAAGTCATCCTCTATTCCCTCTCTTAAGCTACTAATCTGCCCAGGTTTGTCTAACTCATAATTAAAATGCTCTATTAATGCCCTATATGTGAGTACAATAATCCATGTAGAATCCATATGCACAGGTACTAATGTAAGGTAAGTGTTAACTATGTTAACTATGACTTTTATTATATACATCATCATCCCATTTCCTCTCTTCATACACAGGCAGCTAGTAAGAATATTCCTCCAGAGGCAAAAGGTACAAAAAATACCAACTTGGTTTATTGGATAAAAAGAGTGGTAAAATGGACATAAAACCAAAAGTCAGAACAAGATGTTTTCACATCCTCCCCCATCTCAAAACCGTACTTCCCATCATCTGGGCTAGGATGTTAAGGAGACAGAGCCCCCTAAAATCCTTTACTCTTCACCTGCACTGGAAGGCCTGTAGTAGGAGAACCTAGGAGAGGAGGAGGTCAAAGGCAACCTTACTCCTGTCTGCCCCTTCACTCCTGAAGTCTCTGGATTGGAAGGAAGTAGGGAAGGAATAAGCAAGCCAAAAGGGCTAGGACTGGCCTCTAGGGCCCAAGCCCAGGCTTTCCTAGAGATGGCTATCCCTGTCCCCATTCTATCCTTAATAGGTACCATTCTCAGGCCTTGAGGGAGAGAAGAAAGGGGTTGGTTCAAGAACCAGATGTGGTCTCCAAACCCTCCCCCAGCACTGGCAAAAGCTCTGAAAGTAACCTGACCAGGGGTGGGAGAACCACACTTTTTCCCTCCCACCCAACCAAGAGGTAAAAAGGAATTCCTGGGGACATAACAAGCCCAGCTCCTCTTAAATCTCCACGTCGCTTTCCTTGTCATTGTCATGATCTCCATCATAGAATTCGTTGGGTGCCTCTGGCCTACGAAGCAAGGGAAGAGAGAAAGAGAGGTCAGGCTCCCAGTCTCCAAGTTCAGTCTTCTCCCACATAGGCACCCTGTCTGGAGCCACTTCTCAGGCCTCTACTGTCAGGGAACCACTCCTCTCCTTCTGTTGGTAGAGACTGATTGCTATTCATTCATCCACACATGTAGTCAAGAAACATTCACTGACAGACTACTCTGTGCCAGACACTGTCATAAGCCTTAGCGAGACAGGAGAGAATAAACCAGATGACATTTCTGCCTATCTTTAAAAAACTTACCTAATAAATGAGACTGACAATAACTAACAAAGTAAAAACAAAAATATGGTAATTTCACATGGTGGAAAGCACTATGAATAAAATGAAATAAAAGGACGTGACTAAGAGTTACAGGAGGAAAAGGGTAAAATTTCAGACAAGATTATTAGGAACAGATGTTCTGACAAGGTAAGACCTGAAGACTAAGAAGAAGCTGGACAGGCAAACATCTCAGGAAGACCACTTCAAGCTGTAAGAAAACCAAGTACAGAAGTTATAAGGTTATGAGAAAGACAGATGAGAAAAGTGAGAGAAGGAGGTCAAGACAGCTAGAGGAGAGAGAGTCATTAGAAATGAGACCAGGGACGAGGATAAGGGCCAGCATGCAGGGCCTTTTAAAGTCATCATCAGAAATTTGGACTTTCTTCTAAGTGCAAGGGAAAGGAACATTTCTAGCAAAGAAGTGACATATTATAAACCTGTATGTAGTGGGTGAAGGGATATGAAAGCAATACAAGACCCAGTATGTACCCAATTCTGATTTCTTTTTGGAAAACTGTTCTCTGGGAGAATATGAATAACTAAGTTATCTTGCCCACAGCTGTTAACTGAGAAAGAAAGGAGAAAGTCATCAAAGAGAAGTTGGGGAACAAAATCAGGAAAGGCTCCCTCTGCCTGGAGAGCAAAGTCTCAGTTACCTCTAAGTGGGCAAGGGTTAAAGGTAAGGAGACTTGGGTTTGAATCTCAGTTCTGGTATTTAACTAGCTGTGAGAACTTCGGAAAGCTACTTAATCTCTCTGAACCTTAGATTCCTCTTCTGTTAATTTAAGAATCGCACCTCTCAGGGTTGTCGGATGGCAAGAGAATGATGACTTGATGGCATTGTACCATGTATAATTTAATATAAATATCATATCCTATATGGCTGATATGCTACAAGCATCAAAGACAAGGAACTCAGTGGATAGTCCAACAGTAACAGGGCTTAGGACAGGAAGAGGCCAGAGGCTTCTGCTGGCTGTTGAGAACAGGCTGTATAATGTAGAGGCAAGGCCCAGATACCAACCTGGAATCACAGATGAAAAAAATAAACTTTTCTGAAAGGAAGAAACTGAAAAACAGATTTTTAAGAAGATCAGTTTCCAGAAGTCAAGCCTCAGAGACCTGGAGAAGCTGAGATT